CGTCTGATAAGCTTAAAAACATTATCATTAAAAGAAGAAAGAAAATCACAATATTGATACATATTTTTTCAACCTATCTAAGCTTTCGGCTTACATAAGCCATTATCAAAGATGACAATTGCATTACAATATATTAAACAATACACGGACAAAACAATAATAATAGTCTGTTTTTGTTTACATGGACAATTTCCAAGCAACGACAAACTCGTGCATACGAGACGCTGGAAGCAAAAATCGCAACGAAGCCCATGACGTCACACATGACCACGCGAGAGTGAATTCGAGAAGTATTAAGTATGGGAAGCCTATGGTATAAACCAATGGCTTCTGTTACCAATTATAGGCATTTAAGAATATTTGTAGAGATTTCATAGTTTATTTTGTTCAGGTTAGGCTTCAACTCTTTTATGTATATAGCTTCATGAATTTTTAGTTTTTGTTTATTGTTTTCGTGTCTATGTATAGTTGTATTTTCAACGAGGATTTTCCGGAATTGTGTATGCGGCCAGGCATGTTGTTTTAAATTTAATTTTTTAATTTATAATTGATTTCACTAATACCACCCTAATTAAAAAAAGAACACAATTCTTTAAGAAGAAAATACATTGAAAAATTAACAATAACACTGTTACCAACTACAAACACACGCCTAAAACATTACCTTACGTCGCTATTTTTCTTTGACTCCATACTTAAAGAATCTAACTTATATCTATCTGATACAAATAATACATGCTTAAAGAGGTCAGCCATACATTAGAATCACTTGACACACCACTGCGCAGGTTGACTGCACAAAGGTGAAGATAGGACTCCCACCAGACAGGCACACATATACAATTATGAATATACATTACCATCTGTTGCCCACTTAGACATACAAAAATCTTCAGAAACCTACATGCACATATAATTCTTATGTCTGACCAATGAGAACAGACCCAAACATAATTGATAATACTTGAGTTTCCATCATTTTGTCTGTTTTCTCTCAATCTCTGACAAAGTTTGAATAAAAGTGAAACATTTTAGATTAATATATTGGCGACAACGTCTCATCCTTTTACAACTGAAATGGCTAGATGTAACCGTAAGTTCTATGCTAACAGTTTCTTCTATTGCACTTTTCAGTAGTGGTACTCTTTTCCGGCTTCTTGCAACTTCAAAATTTTAAATGCAATGTCAATCGTTATCTTCTGTCTTCTTAATTCTTGTTCTTTTATTGTCCTTTCTCCTTAATATTATATTTTTCTCATATTCTCTAACACTCAGTAACTTTTTGTGTCTCAGTGGCTTTATTGCCTTGCTTGGGATTAAATAATTTTTTAACAATGTCACTTGTTCGGGTATCGCTTCTCTCTTTCTATAGTCCTTATGTTTGTACATTATTTACATCATTCGGGCTATTGTCCTCATCTTTGTCGCCATACTTATCACAACGTTTTGGCCGTTGTACGCTCCGGCCTTCTTCAGGTGGTTGGAATGTCGAACTGAACCCTTTATTTCGCTCACTGGGGTAGACTGTTCTAGTCTTGTCACTGAATCTAACTAACGCCTTTATCTACTGAGCCATGTATCCATGGCACAGTGGATAAAGGCGTTGGTTAGATCCAGTGACAAGACCCAAAGAGTGTGAGTTCAATACCCGGCGAAGGCAGTGGAGAACTTTCAGAGGAAAAATTAACAGGAGATAACTGATAACTGACATCCATCAAAACATGGCACGTGGAAATAGAACAGTCTACCCCAGTGAGCGAAATAAAGGGTTCAGTTCGACATTCCAACCACCTGAAGAAGGCCGGAGCATACAACGGCCGAAACGTTGTGATAAATATGGCGACAAAGATGAGGACAATAGTCTGAATAATGTAAATAATGTACATAATACTTCATCTCAGAAATATAGACAGACTTTAGGTTTGTGTTGTGCATATTTTTTTTCAAGGTAACAAAGTTTAAATATTGACGTCCGATGTATCTAGATGTGAATTTTAACCTGTCGCATTCAGCTATATTTCATCGCATTTATTTTTTATCGGTATTGTTTTTAAATATAACAAATTATATTAGTAGAAATGTTTTTGAAGATATAGTCGATGACACTGGACGTAAATTTCCTGTAAACAATTCTGAAATTAGGGAACTTTCAATACATTTATAACTAGCTTAAAAGCCGCACTCCAAACCAAAACTAAACTTCTTAATTCTTGTTCTTTTATTGTCTTCTCTCCTTAATAGTAGTTTTTCTCATATTTTCTAACACTCAGTAATCCCCTTGCGTCTTAGTGGCTTTATTGCCTTTGATCTTCAAAAATTTAAATGCAATGTTAATCGTTATCTTCTGTCTTCTTAAATCTTATTGTCTTCTCTCCTTAATAGTAATTTTTTCTCATATTCTCTTACACTCAGTAACCTCTTGCGTCTTAGTGGCTTTATTGCCTTTGATCTTCAAAAATTTAAATGCAATGTTAATCGTTATCTTCTGTCTTCTTAAATCTTATTGTCCTCCCTCCTTAACAGTAGTTTTTTTTATCATATTCTCTAACACTCACTAATCCCCTTGCGTCTTAGTGGCTTTATTGCCTTTGATCTTCAAAAATTTAAATGCAATGTCAATTGTTATCTTCTCTTTTCTTAATTCTTGTTCTTTTTACTGTCTGCTCACCTTAATAGTATTTTATCTCATATCCTCTAACACTTAGTAACCCTTTGCGCCTTAGTGGCTTTATTGCCGTACTTGTGGTGAAATGATTTAAAAAAAAAAAGACATGGGCATCTATTTATTTCTGCCCTTAAGTTACATGTTGATTTATGGATTTACAGTAAAACTCGAAGGCAGCGTTTCTCAACCGGTGCGCCCGTGCACACTACTGCACCCTGAAAGCTTGCCAGGTGCTCTCCATGTTAGCAGAGGAGTAATTCAGGAATTTTTAGTTTAAAAAGAAATCTTTAGTTTTTTTCATCATCATCGTTATTATTATTATTATTATTATTATTTTAAAGCGAGAGACATCAAGCACATGGCTTCCATATCTAAAGTCAAGTTTTTGTCACTTGATATTTTAAAATGGATGTCAAATTCTTTAATACTTGTAATTTTGGAGGAAAGAAGTAAAAAAAAAAAAAGAAAGAAAGAATTTCCCGTGAACGCCTTGAATGTAAAGTTTGGAATTTCGTAATTGACTGACATTTGTTAACACTTGATGAATCTGTACGTATTTCTGGAAAATTGAAAAGAACATCTATTCTCCTCTACCGACAAAATTGAATCATTGCAGAAAAATACATTATTTTATTGCGGAAAATGATCTTCAAGACTCGTATCCCCGCTGCGGAACTTCAGAAACCAGCGCGTTTCAGCTCAATTACAAGAGAACTTTTGCATCCCATACACTGTTAATGTTAGTAGCAGTTATGACCAAGCGTGAACTCTTGAAATAAAAAATAGCGTCCTGGGTAAGACATTAAACTACATCCGCGTCCTAGGTAAGACGTTAAACTACGTCCGTGTCCTGGGTAAGACGTTAAACTACGTCCGTATCCTGGGTAAGACGTTAAACTACGTCAAGCAGCAAGGCCTCTGATCAGGAGGTTTTGAGGAGTGTGGAACCACCTCTTAATTGCTGTTGTTCCTAGTTCCACTCTGACCCGCGGTGGTAGCACCTGTTAGGGTCCCAGCGATGGGCAAATAAATAGTTAACTATTACCAGCAATACTTTTTTGACAAAACAAAATATTAATGGCAATAAAAAAACTTTTGTCAGCATTAAATAACCCATTGAGGTTGATATGCCGTAAAACAAAATAAACCAAACCAATCTAAACCAAAGAACACATATTCTATTCATACGAATCTATCCTAAAAATGTTGTCGGCATTAAATAACCCATTGAGGTTGATATGCCGTAAAACAAAATAAACCAAACCAATCTAAACCAAAGAATACATATTCTATTCATACAAATCTATCCTAAAAATGTTGTCGGCATTAAATACCCCATTGAGGTTGATATGCTATTAAGCAAACCAAACCAAATAAAAATAAGCGCATTCCTTTTTTTTACGGATATATTCGTATGAATAGAATATGTATTCTTTGGTTTAGATTGGTTTGGTTTATGGACGCCGATGTTGTTTAATGTCTTACCCAGGAAGCGGATGTAGTTTAATGTCTTACCCAGGACAAGCAGATTCTGTGATAAATATCCAGAAATAATTGATCATCTTGTATCAGATTGCACGATATTGGCATCCTCTAAATATAAAACCCGACATGACAGAGTGGGCCAATATCTGCACTGGAAAATTATACGGGAAAGAAACTGAAAGAAACTGGTATGAACACCACCCAGACCCGGTTACGGAGATAGGACCTGTTACAATTCTATGGGACTTTACAATACACACAGACAGAACAATCAAATCTAATCGCCCTGACATCGTGATTAGAGACCTCAAAAAAAAAAATGCCTCCTTATTGACATGGCAGTCACTGCAGACTGCAATGTATTTTTGAAGATCTTCAAAAACTATCAAAATACAAGGACCTTGAAATAGAAATCTCAAAAATGTGGCACATGGGAACATCAACAATCCCTGTTGTAGTTGGAGCCCTACGACTGATTGGAAAAGATTTCAGTAGATTAATTGAAGGGATTCCTGGAAGTCCATGCCTTAAAGAAATCCAAAAAATATGTTCTCACGAGTACAGCCCACACTTTACGAGGGGCTTTATCTATGTAAAATATGTTTTTTTTTTTTCTTTTTTTTAGGTATCTGGTGGCACCCGGAAGAAAATGAATAACACCAGAACCCCCCCCCCAAAAAAAAATAATAATAATAATGTGGCACATGGGAACATCAACAATCCCTGTTGTAGTTGGAACCCTCGGATTGGTTGGAAAAGATTCCAGTAGATTAATTGAAGGGATTCCTGGAAGCCCATGCCTGAAAGAAATACAAATTGTTCTTACAAGTACAGCCCACACTTTACGAAGTGATCTATCTATCTATCTATCTATCTATCTATCTATCTATCTCTCTCTATATATATATTTTTTTTCTATTTTCGTTAAATTTTCCATTTTTCGTTAAACACTTCTATAATCACTTCTTTCTTCTTTCTTTCTTTTTCTTTCTTTCTTTTTCTTGAAGAAACCAAGCAGTGTCTTTTCCTCTCTTTCCACGGAATAGTCCATTATTTATGTGGTATTGGCAGAAGATGTTAAAACACTTCTGTTGACAATACGTCTTTCTTTCTTTCTTTCTTTCTTTCTTTCTTTCTTTCTTTCTTTCTTTCTTTCTTTCTTTCTTTCTTCATTCATCCTTTCTTTCTTTCTTTCTTTCTTTCTTTCTTTCATTCTTTCTTTCTTTCTTTCTCTCGCTGAAGGCAAACAGCGCCTTTTCCTCTCTTTCCAAGGAATAATCCATTATTTATGAGGTATTGGCATGAGATGTAAAACACTTCTCTCGACAATACTTCTTTCTTTCTTTCTTTCTTTCTTTCTTTCTTTCTTTCTTTCTTTCTTTCTTCATTCATTCATTCTTTCTTTCTTTCTTCATTCTTTCCTTCATTCTTTCTTTCTTTTTTTCTTTTTTCTCGCTGAAAGCAAATAGCGCCTTTTCTTCTTTTTGTACGGTGTAGTCCATTATTTATGAGGTATTGGCAGGAGATGTTAAAACCTTCTGTTGACAATACGTCTTTCTTTCTTTCTTTCTTTCTTTCTTTCTTTCTTTCTTTCTTTCTTTCTTTCTTCATTTTTTCTTTCTTTCTTTCTTTCTTCATTCTTTCTTTCTTTTTCTCTCTGAAAGCACACAGCCCCTTTTCCTCTCTTTCCACGGAATAGTCCATTATTTGTGAGGTATATCGGTCATGAGAAATAACGTCGGTTGGGTCAAACACTAATAATAATAATAATAATAATAATTATGAGTACCGACACTACTTATTTGTTTGTATACATTTATCTATATATAAAAGAAGGAAATAAGGTAAGTATGTATTTTTTTTTCGTTTAGGTACACGTGCTTTGACACACATTCTGTGATATTTCGCGATATGTCGACATTTTTGCGGCTGCAACAGATGCGAATATTTGGACATTCAAAGAATGCGAAACATTGTCAGTGAAATTGTTCTTCAATTTAACGAATGACTTCTCGTAGAAGTGTGGGAAAAGTAAATTGAAACACTTAACATAACACACGCACACACACACATACATACATTCTATCTGATATATATATATATATATATATATATATATATATAGTAATACTCGTTTGGAAAAAAAAACCTCGGATAGTACAACTTGTAGATATGGTAAAACAAATCAGTACCCGAGAAAAAAATTGGAAAAAAAAAAAAAAAAAGAAAGCACTAAAAATATTGGAACAGGGTGAAATAAATCGTCCAATGCCTTAAGTCTTTAGTCCAGTGAACAAAAAAAACCCAAGTGAGTAGTAAAGCTAAAACGTAGAGTGCTCAATACGGTAAGTAGAGCGGGAATCAATAAAATAAATCCTAAAGAGCCAGAAAATCCTACTTAGGTCTCACTTAAACGGATATTCAGGGTAAACTGGCTTACCCTGAAGATACGTTTAGGGGAAACCTAGGTAGGTTTTCCTGGCTCTTTAGAATACATATATATAAATAGTCCGAATAATGTAAATAGTGTGCATAATACCTCAACTCAGAAATAAAAACAGATACTGAAGGGCCGAAACATTGTAATAAATATGGAAACAAAGATGAGGACAATAGCCTGAATAATGTAAATAGTGTACATAATACCTCATCTCAGAAATATAGACAGATACTGAAGGGCCGAAACATTGTAATAAATATGATGACAAAGATGAGGACAATAGTCCGAATAATGTAAATAGTGTACATAATACCTCATCTCGGAAATATAGACAGATACTGAAGGGCCGAAACATTGTAATAAATATGGCAACAAAGATGAGGACAATAGTCTGAATAATGTAAATAGTGTACATAATACCTCATCTCAGAAATATAGACAGATACTGAAGGGCCGAAACATTGTAATAAATATGGTAACAAAGATGATGACAATAGTCGGAATAATATAAATAGTGTACATATTACCTCATCTCAGAAATAGTGACAGATACTGAAGAGCCGAAACATTGTAATAAATATGGCGACAAAGATGAGGACAATAGTCCGAATAATGTAAATAATGTACATAATACCTCATCTCAGAAATATAGACAGATATTAAAGATCCGAAACGTTGTAATAAATATGGCGACAAATATGACGAGAATAGTCCGAATAATGTAATTAGTATACATCATACTTCTTCTCAGAAATATAGACAGATACTGAAGGGCCGAAGCGTTGTGATAAATATGGCGACAAAGATGAGGACAATAGTCCGAATAATGTAAATAGTGTACATAATACCTCATCTCAGAAATATAGACAGAAACTGAAGGGCCGAAATGTCGTAATTAATATCGCAACAAAGTTGAGGACAAACATCATACCAACTGTTCCCCTGGGCCTCGGTGACGAAGAGTTTGCAAATCAGACTTTGTTGGTATGACGTTTGCTTGACAACCTAACTGTCAGGGTTTCAATTCTCGGTAGTGGATGCGCACTGCTGATGAGTCCCAAATATCGGACCAAACGGCCGCCCAGTGCTTTCTGCATTCTGTTGAGATTTCTATCAGACTCGATTAATTACTTAAATATATATATATATATATATATATATATATATATATATTAATGCATGCTTCATTAAATAATATAGACAAATTTTGTCTATTTATTTTAAGTAAGTTCCTTTCATATTGTCTGATAAGCTTAATAACATTATCATTGAAAGACGAAAGGAAATCACCATATTGATACGTGTTTAAATCCGATCTAAGCTTTCGGCTAACATAAGCCATTATAAAAGATGACAATTACTTTTCAATATACCAACCAATACACGGACGAAACAATAATGATAGTCTGTTTTTGTTGCATGAATTATTTCAAAGCAACGACAAATTCGTGTATACGAGACGCGGAATCCCACAAATATGCTTAAATGCCTATAATTGATAACAGAAGCCACTGGTTATACCAACGGATTCCCATGCTTAATACTTCTCGTTTTTACTCTCGCGTGGTCATGTGTGACGTTACGAGTTGCGACGCGATTTTCGCACAAACGAGAGATGTTGGGAAATTTTAACTGAGTGAAACCCTTCCTGACAAACAACCCGAGTAAGGTAAAAAAATGATTCTACCTACGATATCAGAACTACAATCGAAAAGAATTTATCTAAACTCAACATAAAATTTGTCCCAGCTATATCTAAAACAATAAAAGACTTATTCAATACAAAACAATTTAATCTATCACCTGCAAGGATTGTCAGAAAGAATATTTTGGGGAAACCTCAAGAGGTTTAAATAAGTAACGGTCTATATATCTGAGATGAGGTATTATGTACACTATTTACATTATTCGGACTATTGTCCTCATCTTTGTTTCCATATTTATTGCAATGTTTCGGCCCTTCAGTATCTGTCTATATTTCTGAGATGAGGTATTATGTACACTATTTACATTATTCCGGCTACTGTCCTCATCTTTGTCGCCATATTTATTACAATATTTCGGCCCTTGAATATCTGTCTATATTTCTGAGATGAGGTATTATGTACACTATTTACATTATTCGGACTATTGTCCTCATCTTTGTTTCCATATTTATTGCAATGTTTCGGCCCTTCAGTATCTGTCTATATTTCTGAGATGAGGTATTATGTACACTATTTACATTATTCGAACCATGGTCCTCATCTTTGTTGCCATATTTATTACAATGTTTCGGCCCTTCAGTATCTGTCTATATTTCTGAGATGAGGTATTATGTACACTATTTACATTATTCAGACTATTGTCCTCATCTTTGTTGCCATATTTATTACAATGTTTCGGCCCTTCAGTATCTGTCTATATTTCTGAGATGAGGTATTATGTACACTATTTACATTATTCAGACTATTGTCCTCATCTTTGTTGCCATATTTATTACAATGTTTAGGCCCTTCAGTATTTGTCTGTATTTCTGAGAAGAAGTATGATGTATACGAATTACATTATTCGGACTATTGTCGTCATATTCGTCGCCATATTTATTACAACGTTTCGACCCTTCAGTATCTGTCTATATTTTTGAGATGAGGTATTATGTACATTATTTACAATATTCGGACTATTGTCCTCATCTTTGTTGCCATATTTATTACAATGTTTCAGCCATTCAATATCTGTCTATATTTCTGAGTTGAGGTAATATGTATAGTATTTACATTATTCTAAATATTGTCCTCATCAATGTTACCATATTTATTACAACATTTCGGCCCTTCAGTATCTGTCTATATTTCCGAGATGAGGTATTATGTACACTATTTACATTTTTCGGTCTACTGTCCTCATCTTTATTGTCATATTTTTTACAATGTTTCGGCCCTTAAGTATCTGTCTATATTTCTGAGATGAGGTATTATGTACACTATTTACATTATTCGGACTATTGTCCTCATCTTTGTTATTTATTACAATGTTTCGGCCCTTCTGTATCGGTCTATATTTCTGAGATGAGGTATTATGTACACTATTTACATTATTCGGACTATTGTCCTCATCTTTGTTGCCATATTTATTACAATAATTCGGCCCTTCAGTATCTGTCTATATTTCTGAGATATGGTATTATGTTCACTATTTACATTATTCGGACTACTGTATTCATCTTTGTTGCCATATTTATCTCTACGTTTCAACCGTTCTACCTTCTTCAGTTTGTTGGAATGTCGAACTGAACTCGTTATTTCGCTCGCTGAAGTAGACTGTTCTAGTTCCACGTGCTATGCCTAATGGATGTCAGTTATCTCCTGTTAATTCACCTGTCCAAGTCTTCCACTGCCTTATCCAGGTATTGAACACTTTGTGTCCTGTCACTGGATCTAACCAACGCCTTTATCCACTGTGCTATGTGTCATTAAGGACATCCGTGTATGAATTTCTGGGACTTATAGACGTAATGTTTTCAGTACCATTTTTACCAGTGCTCATATTGAAATTTTTGCTGTTATCAATGCATTTTTTTTGCAGAACTCATATTGCAAGTTTCGTTGTTATTGCTTTTCTCTAGCACTCCTTGTTACTGATTCCTATATTGTATTCATTTATCTGCTTGGTCTTCTCAGGAGATTTTTGCGGCTTTGCATGTTACATGAACACAAAAGAGACATTTTAAAAAATAACACATTAAACGAATTAGTTGCTCACAGTAAAGAGACTGTGCACAGTTTTGCCATACAAAATGCTTCTCTAATTAAATGAGAAAATTGACTGAGGGCAAATTGCTTAACTTGGTTTGGTTTGTTTTAGGCCATA